TTATGGTCTTAGAGTTAAACTTTGCTGGCAATCCCACGAGTTGCATTGCAAGTAATTTTTTGGGTGAATTTTAGTTTTTTCTTTTTCTAGTGTCGTGGATATAAACCTGTCTGGCTCTAATGATCTTGCTAGACAACTGGCGACTGAAGTACCTTTTAGAAGTACCTCTAACAGTGAAAGCAGGTATTTGTTATCTGCTTAAATGATGTATATTTTCCTTATTATGCCCTAAATAATTTTCTCCAACAAATTGAAATGATTGCAATGATACTGCATGTAGTTAATATGTAACTAATATGAAAATGGTTTCCCTGAAAATATTATATTACTTAGCCATATTTCTTCTTTTCTACTTTGGAATACTTGAAATTGTAGGATCCAGTACAATTTTCTTGATGATTTTGGAGGAAATAGTAATCCTAAAGATTCTGTAGAAAATCAATCAGTAAGTTAAATTCCCTGTACTATTTTAATTCTTCTAGAAGCTGGAATTCACCTAGTTATGGCTTTCAGTCTATTTTTCTTGGGTTAAAGTACCATTTTGGTCCCTTAACTTTCCACTTTAACACCAAAATTGTCTCTCAACTTTAAAAAGTACCAAAATTATCCTTAAACTTTCATTTTCGATACTAAAATTGTCCTTCCGTCAATTAAATAGACAGGTGGCACATTAACTTGCCACAAAATCACTGCATTTTTTGAATCTTAATGACATGTAAATCCACAAGAGAAAATTTTGTCAACATGGCTTTTTTTTCACACATTAGATTATCAAACAATCATTGAAAATTTTGTGGGATCCAAATGAAAATTTATTTTCTCTTTTCTTAGTTTCAATTGAGTTCACAAAAATGGCAATGTTCTTCGTTTCTCTTTTATTTTCTTTTCAGATTCAAAACCCTAAACTTGCTACTTCTGCAAAATCAAAATCAAATCAAGCTTTATATCACCATGGAATCTGTTGATCAAATATGTTGATTTGGTATTTTTTAAAATTCATACCAAATCTGGGTTTTCTCTCTCAAACTTCATCTTCTTCCTCTTTTCCTCCTTCGACAGTTTTGCCTCCTCATTCCCTATCAACCTTCCTCCTTCCTTTCCTTGCTCATCCTTCTTCTTTCTGCTTCTTATTCTTTCTTTCTCTTCTCCCTTCTTCTTCCTCTCTCAAACCCAGATCTAGGTTTTTCTCAAACCCAAATATTCATGTTTCATTCATAATATTCATGTTTCATCCATAATATTCATGTTTCATCCATAATAGGCATCAAACTTTAAAAAAAAAAAAAAATCAACCTAAAATCAAGGGAAGCAGATCATAATCTGAAAGGAGATACCCCACTCGCGGGAAGTTCTCTCTTAACTATTTCCCGTCTAAGATTTATACCTAAGAAGCAAACAAATGCAGATCTGCAGTTTTCCAGTACAAATGTCGACCTCCTTCCTCTACTCTTCTACCTTCCCACAGCAAAATAGCAAAGTCCTCCCTTAGTCGCCTAAATCTCACTTAAAGTATGCTAGAAATCGCCCTTTTGCTCTCCCATCTCTTTGGTTGCTATTTCTGCAAAAATCACCAAGAGCATAAGTTGGAAATTTTTGATATTTTTGTCCCTTTTGTGCGGCTATCACAGAAGAAATACAAGAGAGGTTTTCTGTGGTTTTGAGTAGAGGGAGTGGCTATTTAGAGGTGATTGGTGAAGATGATGAAATCGAAAAGATGATCTGGGAAGATGGTGACAAAATGAGATCAAAATTGGCAAAAAGAAGATTTTTTTTTTTTTTTGTATGTGTGGCTATTCTCCCAGATCTCGGTTTGAGAGAGAGAAAGTGACATCAATTGATCCTCCAAGTACCGTTGCAGCAACCCCACCTCACTTTCTTCCCCTTCATTATTGCACCCACACCCCTCCTCGCATCCCCGCAGCCGCTCCTTCTCCTTTTTCGACTATCGTGCAATCGCTTTCCTTCTCCTCCTCTCGTGACAAACCCAAAAGCAGAACTCTGCGGCATAGAGTAGAGGAAAAGTTGCGTAGAGGAGATGGAAGAGGATAGGAGAGCAGAGCAGGAGGAACAAGTACCGACTTCGGGGCGTCGAAGCCACGTGCAGGGGTCTAGCACAAACCGAGCCAGCGCGAAGCTTACTTCATCATGAATTTGTGTGGTGTTTATGAAAAAAATGTAGGAGCGGTATGTTAATGAATAAATTTGTTAGTTGTATGGTGTTTATTACTTGTATTTTCCATTTTAATGTATGAATTTTCACCAGATTGAGAAAAACCCAGATCTGGGTCTGGGCTTGAGAAAAATCCAGATCTGGGTTTGAGAGAGAAAGAAGAAGGGAGAAGAGAGAAAGTGAAAGAGGAAGAGAAAGAAGAGATGTTTTATTTTCTGACGTAGATAGAAGAAAAGATGTAATTATTTTTAAATTAATTAAAAATACCAACTCATAAAAAAATAAGTTTTTTTTTCCATGTCGTTGGTTCAGAAAAAAAAAAAGATTTGCTGGCAAGTTAACGTACCACCTATCTATTTAACTGACGGAAGGGCCGTTTTGGTATCGAAAACGAAAGTTTAAAGATAATTTTGGTAGTTTTAAAAGTTGAGGGACAATTTTGATGTCAAAGTAAAAAGTTGAAGGATCAAAATTGTACTTTAACCATTTTCTTGCGTAGCACGCCTGACCGCATTTTGATGGTACTTCAAGTGGCATCCATGCCTTGTCTTTTGGAAGTTGGTGCCACCGACCCTTGTTGCTGTGATTCCATAATGGGTCCTCTTTGGCCCCTCTAGACTGTCCTACTGGTGAACTAACCACACCATGAAATATAGGATGCCCTTTCAGTGTTCCATTTTCATTTAATA